CAGCAGACATGTCATCTATTCTTCTGTGGACAGTGTCGTTAGATAAGGAAATTGCACTCAGTTTTGTAACAAATTCGTACCTGATCATAACTCGAACAATGTCTTTGGCTGCTGGCAACAGTAAATCTTCCACAATGGAGTGAGGCCCACTCACCATAGTTTCTAAGGCTGTAAGTCTTTATAGAAGCAGACCTTCTGATGTTTCTCCAGGAAAGCAGCAGTATAGTTTAAACCTCAGACCTCTGGGTTGGCAACACGAAGCTCAGTGCCACCAAGGGTTCTTACATAAAGCACAGGAACAGAATGTATGTTACCAATTTCTCTTAGACACGACTACTCTCCATTGTTCATTTTGTACCTCCCAAATAAGAATGGAACCAGGAGGAAATGCTCTGGGCCGTAAGACGCAGAACAAGCTGCCAAGCTGGGCTATAAACCTATGTGCTGGTTGTTCGGTGTTGAGCCGGTTCCAACTCATAGCAACCCTGTGTAAACAATGAAGGCCCTGTGCTGGTCTCCCAATTGTTCCTGTGCTGGAGCCCATGTGGAAGCCACTGTGTCAATCCCTCTTGTGTAGGGCCTTCCTCTTTTTCACTGTCTTTCTACTTTACCAAGCTTGTTATCTGTCTCCAGGGACTGGTCTCTCCTGACAGTATGTCCAAAGTATGTCAGAGGAAGTCTCGCCATCTTTGCCTCTAAGGAGCATTCTGACTGCACTTCCAAAACAGATCTGTTTGTTCTTTTGGCAATCCATGGTACTTTCAATATTCTTTGCCAACACCATAGTTCAAATGCATTGATTTTTCTTCTGTCTTCCTTATTCATTGTCCAACTTTCACCTCCGTATGAAGCGATTGAAAATATCATGGCTTGGGGTAGGTGCACCTTAATTCTCCAAGTAATCTCCTTGCTTTTCAACACTTTAAAGAGGCTTTGTGCCATTTTACCCAATGCAGTGCATCATATGATCGCTACTGCTGCTTCCAGGACCATTGATTGTGGGTCCAAGCAAGATGAAGTCCTTGATACAGGTAGAAGGAAAGCTGCTTGTTTAATTTTGTGTGTGTGGTTCGGTATTGTTTTGAAGAAGAAACACCTTTAATGCATGTGGTGGGATGGGAGCATTTATTTCCCTTTCTGAGCTGGAGTTTCCTCAGATAGAACCCCAGCTCCCTCCCCTCTATCACAGAACCATTTGCTTGGCCACACTGGCCTGCCCCTAAGTGACACACAGTAAGAAGCTTGGACTGCTGGAACAGCTCTTGCACAAGACTGCTGATTTTTGCATTCTTTTTCCTTTCATCGTATTTGTTCTGAATTTTCTTTGATCACTTATTTAATATCTCTTCCTCTTGTCCATTTAGTCCCCTTCTTATGGCTCAGGGAAAGTGCACAGTGGAACTCCTAACTCTGCCGTCAAGGAGCAAAATGCAGTTTCTCTTAAGGGTCTTGGTTCAGACCAGCTCATTGTTGGATGAATTGTAAATAACACCGATGATCCTTGTTTCCTAAGGACAGCACTCTGGGGCCCCAGAAGTTCCCCACATCCAGCCTTAGAGTCCTGTACTTCTTGCTACCTCCTCATACAAACTGTGTCGATGTGGAAAGGAGCAATCTTAGTGTTGGCAGCTAGGCTCATACTTCTGCTTCTTGTGGGACAGTGGTTCCCAACCTTCCTAATGCCGTGACCCTTTCATACAGTTCCTCATGTGGTGGTGACCCCCAACCATACATTATTTTCGTTGCTACCTCATAACTGTAATTTTGCTACTGTTATGAATGGGGCGATCCCTGTGAAAGGGTCGTTAAACCCCCAAAGGGGTCACGAAAAGACTTTCTGTTGCCCCTAATCTTGCGACACTTGTGATTATTGTGCCAGGAAATGCCCATTGCTAAGCACTGGCTGCAAAGAGCAGCTTGCTTAACTTTGGCAAGATTTCTGGCCAGAAGCTATTAACGTGCACAGAAGAATGATTTGCCAGGGAAATATCATCAACTGGCACCCACATTATGATCTCCTCA